ATAAAACATAAAATAAATAATTCAAGTATCAACTACACACATATTTTCTGATAAGCCTTAAAAAACGTTCAATTTTGTGTAAGATTAAAGTTTGCTGGAAACCTTGAAACTCTAATGCAGTAATATATACAGGATGTTCAGTAAGTCAGGAAACGGGTTTCTATTGTTCTCATTGTTTGTAACAATGAGAACAATAGATACCCGTTTCCTGACTTACTGAACACCCTGTATATAAACCGTAATTAATTTCTTTAATATTGCTCTTTAGTCGAAATATTAACAAATTTATACTTGAAATAGATGAAATTCAGTAATCCCCTCTGAGTTTTAACCGTTATCGTTCTTAATTTACTAGTGCGGGTTCTTGCGTAAGAAGTTATCATAACTAAAAATAAGTATTTAAATGGACAATTTAATAACAACTTTAATATTATTAAAAAACGTAAGACTCTTACCATTAAAATGCTGTATGATTAATACTAAAAATGATTTTTTTTATGTATAATAGACATTTATTTTATGGGCTCATAGTTTTAGGTGAGTTAAAAAAATAGTTAAAGTTATATATTATAATTTCATGTTAATACTTTGTTTGATACCAAAAAGTTTTTCTTTAGATGTATTAATAAAATATATTATTGGTGCTCATCTTTATGGATATGGAAAGCAAACTACATGTCCCATGTTAGTAACTATATGCTTCTTACATTTATTTTCTATTTAAAACATTGACACAACTACTCTAGAGGCAAGGAATTTTTTTAAAAACGTAAAAAACTGTTTTTGAGTCCGTTTTAAAAGTAACTTTAAAAAAACGTTTTAAAATCAATATTTTATTGAAAAAATATTTATTAAACTTTATTGAATTTTAAAAATGTATGTTCAGTCTTCTTATAAAAGGGACTAAGCTCCCAATTAGTTAATTTAGTTCTTTGAAAAATTGATAAAATTAAATTTATTGTTCCTTAAAATAATTTTTAAGGCGAATAAAATATGTTTTAGCATTGCCAAAAAATATATTATATTTGTCATAATTATTCACAAGAGGAGTTTTTTAAGGTAGTGACATAAGAAAACGTTTATTAGTAACCATAATGATTAAAAAGAATTAAAGAGAAATAATAATAATAAAAAAACTGAAATTAATCAAAAATTTAAATATTTCTTAATAAATAAACGAAAAATGCTTAAGATGGTGTACAGTTTTATTAATTTTTTTATTGTGAGTATATTAAATTTTTCTATGTACAAAATAGATAATTATTTGAAAATATTATCTTTTTTAAAAAAATGTTTTGTTTTAGAGATTTCTATCGGTGTTCTAATGGCGACTGTATAGATTTCATACTTGCTTGTGATGGAAAAACTGATTGTTCTGATAACTCAGACGAGACTGAAAGTCTTTGCTCGACACATTCTAAAACGTAAATAATCTACAGTACAATGTAAAATATTTGAATACATAAATTCTTATTTTTTATTTATTTATGAAAATTGTAGATGCCCTGGTTTTGCGTTTCGCTGCTCATACGGAGCATGTGTGAGTAAAAGTGTTTTATGTGATGGCACTTTTGATTGCATCGATAAATCCGATGAAAGCCATGCTATATGTTATCAAACAAAGTTTCAAAACACAACTAACCCAAAAATTCAGGCCAACACTTTCAATATTTCAACGGAATGTCAGTTAGTAAATACTTAATTATTTAATAACGGTGTGTTATAATAATTATAACATAAATCTTTCGTGTTGATTATTTTTTTAATAATTTTTGTACATGCGTTTAGAAAAAAATTCACGGTTAATTTTCAACTTTACATCCCACTAACAATTAAACTAAGGTTAACTAAAGAGCTATAATACAAATGTAGGAATATAAATTTCTTGAAATTTGTATATTTTTGTGTCAAGAGTGTATAAAAAAGAGTTGGGATTTTGTTAGAATAATTAACATTAAAGTATTATGTAATGTTAAAAAAATAACTGAAGCTAGAATTTTAGACTACTATTTCTAGTTAAAATGTATTAAAAAAAAACCCAGCAAAGGGGGGTCGCGGCACAGTGGTGACGTGGCATAGTTCGATCAAGTATAATGATATCTGACAGTGATTAAAATCACTATCAAAAATAAACGCTTCGATGCAAATCTTTAGTTAGTGTTTAACTTTAAAAAAAATGGTGTTTTATTCCAAAAGCTACATGATCTGCTGGTTCCTTATTAATATCTCGATTAAGATAAAGTATGTCGAATGAAAAAGGGTTTATTAAAAAATATTATTTCTCATAAAAAAATAATGTTGATCCATACACTTTTCAATATGTCATAGCATTATAAAGTTAAAAATGTAAAAAATAAAATCGAGAATTTTCACACAAAAATAGCATTCGTTAGCCATTTTCGCCATGAAGATAAGTCTAGAGGTCCAATTTTTTTTTTCTTCAAATTAAAGTATATTACATTAGCTAGTGTCAGACTTTCCAGAACACTTTAAAAATTTAAGTTGAAAAAGTAAACTTTTTGTATATAAGTTGTTATTTTAAATCCCCCTCTGTGGGGAGATAAAGGGTCAAATTTACAAAAAAAATATATCAAATGATAGGTAAAGACATCAAGCATCTATAAAAAAAAATTTTATTTTGATATGTTAATTTTTGAAAAAGTTACGGCACATTTTAGTAAAAAAAATTGAAAAAATTTCGAAAATTAGCGATTTTTAAATTTGTATTTTTTTTGGAAGTTTCCCCCATTTACGGGAAACGGGGGAATTTTTTTCAATTTTTAAGGATAATGTCTTTGACTAGATACGATTTGTGATCTTTTGACGTATCGTTGAAAGAAATTCGTTCTGTGAGAGCTGAGAAAAAGTGGTACAGACACAAAAAAAAAAAAATTAACACATCTTAGTAAAATCAATACTTTCTCAGCTTCGCATCGAAGCTAAAAGTTAATTTATTAGATCGACACAATTTCAATGTGATTTTGGTGAATGCATCGACAGACTTTTTATATGCGATGGTACAGCCAATTGCAAAGATAGAACTGATGAGACTCGAAAAATTTGTGAAAATTTTAGGTAATTAAATGAGTTATTTATTTTTATTTATGTATAACTGCACTATATTCAATTACAGTTACTTTAATAATTTTTTATATTTAAAGGTGTAGGAGCAATTCTTTCAAGTGTAACTATGGTGCATGTGTACCCGAAGAAAATAAATGTGATGGTCATAAAAATTGCGCTGATGGTTCAGACGAAATCAAATGTGATCGGAATAGAACTTTAATTGTGACCGAAAATTCGACACAGAAATTTACATCTAGTCCAGGTCAACCAAAAAAAAATACTTTGAGAATATCTATATATACAGTTAATATAGTGACTACAGTTATGAAAATTTAAATAACCGAATATTATGGTTACGTAACCATTTATGTAGTTATTCCAGCTGTTTTGAATAGAGTTATCACTATATTAATCGATTATTCTTTTGTTGTAGTCGGTATACCGAATTAGTTTTTTATAACATCAATATTCGTAGATACACAGCATTGTTATTATTAATGGTAGTAAGGCACATTTTTGTGAGTTCATAAATAAACCAACTGACTATATAAAAAGTCTATCTATTGATAGTCATAAATGATAATAAATAATCCGTGACTGTGACAGCGATGTCATAATAACCATTTAACTACCTGTATTTATAATCCCTTGTGTATTCTACATGTTTATTAACTCAAAATGTTGAAACATTAAATGTTTATATTTATTAAACGAATAAAGTTATATTAAAAATTCAAATTCCATTTACAATTAAACTAAAAACTAGATCATTTTATTAAATTAAAAAAATGTGTTCCCATTAAAAAAAACAAAGTTGACCCCCTTACAAGTCTTAAGGGATGAACTTAAAAAGTATTACGTAGTTAATAATTCAAGAATAATGTGTAACTACAGATAACCAAAAAAAAAAAAAATGTTTAAATTATTATTAATCTGCAAGTAATTCAGTGGGTTATGATAAAAAAATCACCCTGTATATCTTTTTGTATATTAAAAAAGAAACAAGTTATTGTGTATTAATTAAAAAAATAATTAAGTAATTAAAAAAAAAACCCTGTACAGGGGAGTCACGGCACAGTGGTGATGTGGCATAGTTAGATCAAATATAATATGATCTGACAGTGATTAAAATCACTATCAAAATTTTAAAAAAGTGGTGGATTATACCAAAAGCAACGTAATCTTATAGTTCGTTATTAATATCCTGATTCAGATAAAGCATGTCGAATGAAAAAGGGATTATTAAAAAATATTCTTTCTCATAAAAAAATTATGTTGATCCATACACTTTTCAATAAGTTATAACATTATAAAGTTGAAAATGTAAAAAATAAAATCGAGAATTTTCACACAATAATAGCATTTGGTAGCTGTTTTCACCATGAAGACAAACTAAAGTCCGAAATTTTTTTTTACATAATAAAGTACATTACATTAGCTTTAATTTAAGATATATATATAAAAGTGTCAGACTTTCCAGAACACTTTAAAAATTTAAGTTGAAAAAGTAAACTTTTTGTATATAAGTTATCATTTTGAATCCCCCTCTGTGGGCTTGTAAAGGGTTAAATTTATAAAAAAAATATACTAAATGATAGGTAAAGACATCTAGCGTCTATAAAAAATAATTATATAATGATTTGTTCATTTTTAAAAAAGTTATGGTAGTTTTAAGTAAAAAAAATTGAAAAAATTAGCGATTTTTAAATTTATAATTGTTTTGGAGGTTTCCCTCATTTACGGGGAACGAGAGAAATTTTTTAATTTTTGAGGGTAATGTCTTCAACTAGATATAATTTGTGATCTTTTGACGTGGTAACAAAAAAAAAAAACACATAATAAATACCTTCTCAGCTTCGCACCGAAGCTAAAAGTTTTTCTATTGTAAAAATAAAGTAAATCAATTACTCCAAAGTAAATAAGCTTATTTTCAGAATGTGGTATAATAGTAGATCAATTACAACCACTAATTTCAAATGGAAAAGATTGTAAGCCTAGTGAAGTTCCTTGGAATGTCGGTGTTTATTATAAAGAAGACAATGTATACAGCCACATTTGCAGTGGATCACTAATTTCTCAAAATTTAGTTGTGTCTGGTAAAATATAAATCCTTCTTTTTGTTTATTAAAACTGATTTCTTTGAAAATATAAAAATTATTAGTAGCATTATTTTTTTTTTAGCTGCTCATTGTTTTTATGACCATTCAGATAATAGACTAGATAATAACGATTTTCAAATTTATGTTGGAAAGTATCACAGAAATTATGATTCTAAAAATGAAACCCAGTATGCTAAAATTTACAATGTAAGATTATTTTTAATTAACTTTATATTTGAAAATTGTGTTAAAACTATAAAATTGTCGTATTTTAGATTAAAACAATTTATATAGGAGAAAAGTATGAAGGGAAGGAATCAAGTTACTATAATGATATAGCTATTGTTTTATTATCTGATCCTGTAAATAATAGTCAAATTGTTTCCATTGTTTGCATTGATTGGAATAATGACTACTCAGAAGTCAACGGCACTTTAGGATTGGTAAATATTTGTTAGATTTAAATTAACTGGAATTGGTGTTGCATTAATTAACTGAAAACATTTCTGTAACAAATTTGATTATGAGAAGTCGTAGAATTTTATAGATAAATATTTTCAAATAAATAGATCAGTGTAAAGAATTTAAAGAAAACGTTTTACTACTTATATTAACTAATATTCAGAAAGTGATCATCAATACTGTTAATTTTAGGTTAATTATATCCTTAATTGTTAATGATATTATTCCTAATAAAAATCGATCTGATTACTGACTCGGTTGTCAGTGTTCTATCGGTGAATGTTACATCATAATTATTTTTTGACACTTCCGCAAAACACTCATCCACGTGGTCAATTGGATTCAAATGGCTTTTAACTGAATTAATTATCTTATTAGGACTGTATTGAAAAAGTCTAAAATGATTGTTCTTTTAGTAGCAATTACAATTTTAATAATAAAAAAAAGAAAAACATCATGCTAAAATAAATACCTTCTCAGTTTCGCATCGAAGCTAAAATAAAAATAATGAATATAGTATAAATTTTCCATCTCAAAGTCAAAAAATATCTATAAAAAAGTATCAAGATTAAAAAAAATTATAATTTTTATTTAAATGTTCTTAAGCGTTTGTAGATTGAAATTTTACAATACATTATTAATAATGTAACTGCCTTTTTCGTATTTTTAGGTTGCAGGATGGGGAAAGAATGCTAAAAATAATGGGATACCCAGTGAGACATTATTAAAAGCTAAATTACCATTTATGGATAATTCGAAATGTCAAAAATTAGTAGGAAAAAAATTTGGTACCGATCATATTTGTGCTGGTTCAGAAAATGGTAAATTTCCATATGGTTGTCATTTATTTTCTTATTTATTCACAGTATAACGCAATAATCATATTTTTTATGAAAATGGAGCCAATATTGCTTATAAGATATAAATATAATTCATGATGTATAATAATGAAATATTATGTTTCAGTGTCAGATCCAGGAGTGCAACAAGGAGATAGCGGATCTGGTTTATCGTTCATACATGATGGTAAATATTATTTAAAAGGAATTGTAAGTCATTTTAATTCAAATTCCAATAATTCAATCGCTTTATTCACCGACTTGAAAAGTCATATGAAGTGGATTCGTAAAAAAATTGATGAAAATAGAATATTATAGTTTTAACTATAGTTTTAACTATAGTTTATGACATTAATAAACCAATAAATGTATAGTAAATAATTGTTTATTTGTTATACTAATATATATTATCTTATGATTTTTTTTATATGTATAAATATGTAATAAAAAAAAAAATTGTTTATTACACTGTACAAGAAGGAAATACAATTCGAGAATACGTGTTTAGAATCAAGCTTTCTATAATTTAGAAAATTTATCAAGTCTCAAACGTATCAATAATATGTTCAAAGAGATACGGCGGAGCATATTTTAACAAAACCCAATTTTTTGATATAACCTTGTTCAAAGATTATCTATAAAAATATGCAAACAAAGACCAAATTTAAAGCGTTTACTTGATAAGTATACTTATACAAAATGGTGTTGAGTCTATGTTTTTAAAAAGAATTTCAAGGACCTTTTAGAATATAATATTTATATTAGTATTAAATATAGTAATCAGACAAAAAAAAATAATAATAATAAATTTATGTTCGACTGAATACTAGTGTACTATTTTAATATTCTGAGCAAAACACCATAAGAAAACTTAATCCTAAAATCATTATTTCAATGTTATCAAGAAAATGAATAGAACCTCCACTCTATCCAGAAACTCCTGTGGGTACTTCTCCTTTCTCCCGTAATATTCAGTTAGGCAGGCGCGCATGGTGCGTAGGTTGTGGTAAGGTACCAATACAGACCGCGAGCCACGGGTTGACGACAAGTCATTAAACGACCGACAACCGTCGGTTGTATTGAATTGCCATCCCGTGGTTGGCACGTGAACGAAAATTCGGTCGACTCATTCTCATATGTATGAGTGCGCAAAATATTTTCATCTTGTCAACCAGTGCTACACATTCGAGGTAGAGCCCACGCGCGTCACGCTTGAACGTACGATCGTCTCGGATTGCGGGCTTCTTGCGCTTCGATGCCCGCGAGTCGCTCGTCAAGTGTTGCATCGTGTCGCGTCGGGTCCATCGCTCCCGATGGATCGAAAGTAACGCGGTGTGCGTCCGATCGCCGACTATCGTTTTATTCAATGTTGATATGACGAATAGTCGGTTGTGCAGTAACGTGTGGGGATGGCGGCATATTTTGACTGATGCGCTCGAGAATGTTGGAAATTTGTCGCTGTTCCATAGACATACGAGACAGCGACCTATCTAATTCAGTCATCCGTGCTTCAATCCGCGCGTTATTGGACAGGTCGCGAATGCTAAGTCGAATCGCCATCGAGCGGGAACGTACACGTCCTCATCGTACGGCGCGCCTAATTGTCCGCTTGCGCGAGTAATTTCCCCCGGTGGTTCGACATCAGTTTCGTCATCTCATGTGCGGTTCATTGGATTTTCCTCCGATAAAAGTGCTACGATGGGCCGCTAGTTACTCGCGTTTACGCTTATCTCTTCTTCAGCGATACGGTCCATAGAGTTGTCGAGAACTTCCACTTCGGGCTCGCGAACCGGAATTTCGCTATCAGGCGACGTTCGAGGTGGTAAAATGTCTTAAAACTTAAATAGAAATCATAGTAATTATTTCTAAGGCACTTAAGCTATTTAATTAGATTCTAAAATTAAAATATTCAGAACCTAATTAATTTTAATGATTTACTTTAACTAAAAAAACTAATCAAAATGTTGTTGAAAAAATTTACTTCATTGAGCGTATTATAAAATTTGATTGTATTTGTAAAAATCCATTGTTAAATTCAAGTGAAACTGAAAATCATTTTTTTTTTTAGATTTATAGTTTATATTGCAACATGTTACCAAAAAATTTGGAATATAAATAGACTTTTAGTAACACATAAATAAAGTTAACGGATTATACCGTTGTACGGCGGCTCCGATTGGTCCCTGTCTTCATTGTTATACTAGACACAAAGCTGTGAAGTAATCGCCCGTACTAATCGAATTACTCCTCGATGACGTCTAAATGATTTAATGAGATGAATCCATTGGATAAACACGTTTTATACATGTGATTTTGGCTACGGCTGTTGTACCTGATGCGGATATATCTGATGTGATAACGGCGGCAACAACTGTAGTAGCAACAACGGTTGCATCTTCGTTAACTATGTTATATTTTAACGTAAAAAGTATTGTCATAGTACACACACACACATAGGGTCAATACTGTATACAACAAACGACCTTGTAGTAATGGCGTGAAATACTACGTCTATGCGTTAGACACGTGATCGAAGTTTTTATCAGCGTAAAAAAACAACTGTAGAGATATCGGAATTTGTAGGGGTAGCATAAAAGGGGTATTCAGCATTTACAAAATATTGACTTGGAGTTTAACGACAGCGTTGGGGGTGAATTGTAACACGGCTGTCAGGGATTGACGGATAGTCAAAGTGTACCGGAAAACGTCTGAAAAATAGTCACGGTATTGTGATGTGTAGCTTATATAATGAGGGATCAGTTTATCATTGCTATAGTGGTGATCGACCGTTGTGTCATCCGTATAGATGGTAATGCGAGTTAGTTGACTTTCAACTGAGCGGAATACCCGCGATGTATTGTCAGCCGTATTGTTAATATTTTATAACGTAATATACATTCATTTATTTACTATGTATTAAATGTCTATGTGTTAGCACTGTTAGGGATTTGAACCCTCGACCAAAGGCGTCGTAGTGACAAACCTTATCACTAGGTCACTGTGCACTTATGATTCAGATCCTGATACACTCTCATATAGGTTGATAACGTGATGTGTGGCTGAGGAAAACTCGGTACCTTATCAATTGGCACAAATGTGGCATATCAAATGCGCGGAATCGAAGCGTACTATTTGTACGTTGTACCGTTAGCATGTACCTCCACTAGAAAATGAACTTTTTTTTTATCCCAACGTTTTCGTTGTCTATTTTATGTTATTTTTGGAACAAAATTATAAATTTATTAATAATATATGAATTACATTTTACTCACATTAATTTTAAAAATAATTTCAGACCATGGACTTGACCGACCCATCGGCTATTTTGTGATAAGGTAAATTCTTTACATCGTATATATTATTCTAATTATTCTTGCTTTATGGAATAATTTCACTGAATACCATGTCCTTCAATCCTTTTATGCTTTCAACCACTTCACAGTAGTATTGTATAATACGTTCTATAAGGTGCATTAATTGATAACGGGCTTTTAATTTGTTAGCAGCAGTATTGTTAATAGTACATTTATGAAGTTTTTTTGTATTTAATGGAACTCCGAATTTAACGACCGTTCTGGATTCCAACGCTAAATGTATATTATTGCGGTACAACCCTTTAGATATTTTAAATTCAGCGTTTTATTATAACATACTGTGTTCTCTCTTTACTGTAGGAGATTGTAAAAATAATTTTTT